CGACGTACGTACGTACGTACGTACGTACACGTACTACTACTACTACTATATATATATATATATATATATATATATATATATATATATATATATATCGATGTCGACCACGGAGTATTAAATCTTCCAAGGATCGTAATTCGCGCGACAGGTGGTTGGTCGAATCTCGAGGCATCGATGTCGATTGAAGACGAGACTTCAATCATCTAATTGTTCAGCGAATTAACCGGAGATTAATGACTCGAATCGTAATCGTAACGTGTGTGCTTTGCAAATTAATCTCTCTCCCATAAAACCTACCAGCATTTATTGAAATTTATCGATGCGAGCAATCTCCTGTCTTCCGCCTTCAAAGCCAGCGTGTTGAGTTTGTCAAAATTTCTATTTATACAAGATTACACTCAAGTTACATTCGCAGATGAGAGAAAGCGGGGGGAAAATTGAGCGAGAACCCGTCAACGGGAGAAAATCCATCGATGGGATCCTCCGTAGAATAAAACTGTCAATAAAAAAAGGCAATTAACTCTTATTCTTTCTTCAAAGCTAGCGCATCCAAATTCCGCGCATTCAATTGCGGTTATGAATTTCAATTGTTTCACTCTTTCGAATATATATTGGATATATCCAATTCAACGCGCAAAATGATAACATCAACCCGTCGAATCAAAAGCGCTCGAAATGATGGAGATATCGGGGCGCTCGCGCCCCTCGATATATCGCCGTTCGCGTTATTATATTTGGAGCTTCACCGTTCGCATCCCGTTTGCCGCTAATTTTCTTTGGCCCATTTTGCTGATTATCATCCGTAGATGGACGAGTATCGATTTCGCCACCGCACGTGTCCGTTCGCGCCCATAATTGGGACAGCGCTGCTGTATCGCACACTTGATACACTTGAAAGCGCAAACCGCGCGCGTTTCGTGTCAAAGTCAAGCGGAAATTACGATTTCTACTCGTCGGTTTGATAGCGCAAACCCGGTGCCTTGATTAATCAGCGAATTGCGATTTCGACGCATTTAGCGTTGCGCCTCAGCACCAATCGCGCCTGCCATTAATCACTGCCCGAGTGATGCACTGTGAGTGTCAAGCTTCTAAATCAGCTAGGCTAGCCGATGCTCTCTATGATTTTATTAACATCTACCTCCCCAACATTAATCGCAAGAAGGTTCTTTTTTTTTCTCGCGTGTAATAATTACGCGCCAGATTGATGTCTTAGCCTCCAGGTAAAAAGAAACAGGGTCAGGTGTGAATTAAACGT